TGAGATACAGTGCTCTGGGATGTCAGTGCATCCATCCCACCCAAGGTTCAGGTGCTGATGTCAGGCTGTAGAATCTTACGCCTTTGGGGCTGTTCTGGGCTTTATTTTAAGTTGTTTATCTTTGTAGTGCAACTCAACATGGTGTGTGCCCTCCCATGGGGAGGATTCCCCTCCACCTTCCCCAGTCCTCTTGTGGAAACCCCAGGAGATCTCAGTCGTGTCCTGAAAGTCCTTGTTTCTTACTTCTTTCTGAGACAGGATCTTGAAGGAATCTGCTGGTAATTTTGCCGTTGCCCTGACCTGCTCCTGCAGGATGAGCTGCCCCATTGCCATCAGTTCTGCTCTGGAGCCAGGGTGAATCGGGAGACTCACCCTGGGAGCTGGCAGTGCTGGCACAAGGGCTGGGGGAAAGTTTGGGAACAGCCGGGGAACAAGCAAGAACCAGCCGAGTCTGAGCAACCAGAAGGCCACCAAGTTTCTCATCTGATATCTCTGTATTTGCAAATACCACTTAGCAGAAGGCTTGGGGCTTTGTTTGATTGGTTTTTTAAATTAAAAATGCCAAAGTAATGAGATGCTTTGTGTGGTAGGACCTTTTCCAGGCTCTCTCCTACTTTTATCCCACCCAAATCATGGTGCTGTGCTCTATTCTCCTCTCTGAAACGTGTTGGTGGGCTGGGCTCTGCTTTCAGAGGGCTGGCCCCGTTCTGCTCTTGCTGGAGCTGAGCATACGTGCTCCAGGCTTTGAGCAATTGCAGCCATTTGTTTTATGTTTTCACAGTCTGGTCTGTCTCCTGCAAAGCAGAGGTTGGTTTGTTTGCACAATGCTTGTTTTCGGAGGCAGGAGAGTTTTAGGAACAGGCTGGCATTATGTTTATTTTAGTTCCTCTATAATTTTTTTAGAAGGATAAAAAATAAGTTCATATATATATATAATGTGGGGGGAGAGGGTTGGTTTGGGTATTTCTTTTTTTTTTCTTTTTTTTTTTTTCCTTTTTTTCTTTTTTCCCCTAGGATCTAAATTACAGCTTTTCTGGAGCTGGCTGGGAGAAGGCAGTGGATAAAGACTAAATTGCCTGAGTCAGCTGATGGAGCATAACTGCAAGGACGTGGTGCTAGAGACCTTCTTGGAGGCCCCCTTCAGATCCAGGATACAGATGAGTTTTATGGCCTTGTCCTGGTTTTGATGTACAAATCTAAGTGACTTGGAGCCACCCAGGGACTGTGCTTTATTGCTCAGCATCGGCACTGAGTGAAGTTTTTCTAAGGGGGGTCTGTCTGACAACCCTCCTAGTGTGCTGGGGTGGCTTTGCCCATCATGCAGAAGGTGAAGGGGCAAGCATGATCCTCTTCAGAAAAGCTGTGCTGTTGTTGGGTGATTCAGCACAGCTCGGGCTGCTCTTCAGCCAGCTGAGAGCCTGGACCTGCAGAGGAGCAGTGATGTCAGCTGCTTTGGTGCCTCTGGGATGGTACCCGCTCCCCTTAACTGGTTTGCTCTGGTCTGCTGCTGGGACCTCCCTTTGGAGTGCTCAGGGCTGTAAATGTGGCTTCATTCTCCATAAGGCTGCTCCTGCTCCTGAGCACGGGCCCCTCATCATATGGTCTGTTAGCAGCAAATGAAGGAAGCTCTGAACTCCCTGTCTCTGTAGGACAGATAATTTCAGATGCCCAACCCCATCACCTCAGCCACTTGTTGCAGCAAGGAGCCCTGGACCCCATGCACGCGTCCCTGCCTCCAGCTGGTGTCACAGCATGACCGGTCTCTGAGAGTTGTACTTCAATCTGTGTCTGTGTCCAATAGCCAAACTCTTCATTCCTCATCCTCAAGGAGGACCTCTTCAAGGCACTTAGTCTCGACCTTAACACACCCTCAGTTAGATGAAGTCTGATGATGGGTTCTGCCTGGTCCTGGGACCCCCCCCTCCTCCTAAGTGCAGCCATCCTTCTGTGATACTAAAGATAAGACCGTACATGGCCTGCATTCAGACTCCTGTTTCCTGGAGGAAGAGCTTAATTTACCAGTTGCTTTTTCCTTGTGTTGGGGCCACCTTTGAGCATGCCGCAGGCTCCCTTTGAGGGCATTAGTCTTCAAAAATCCCACTTGGTATGGAGTCATGTTTGGCCCAGAAGGACTTGGTACTGCCCCAGCTCTCTGCAGGGCTCATCGCAAAGGGGAGTGGGGGAAGGACGTGGGATATTGGCTTGGAGCACTGAAGTCCAAAAGTTACAGAACATGGAAGTGAAATGGGGGATCAAGCTGTAAGAGCTCCCCTTGCAGCCATACAGAGGGGTTTGCCCGCAGCCTGATGTGAAGCTCCCTGCGGCAGGGGTTTCCTGTGGCTTTCCTTGGGGCTCTCTTGCCCTTAGCAGGTAGAATGCCTCCTTGACTTGGTGCTGAGCAGCGCACACAGGTAATGAGCGAAGAGAAGGCTTCATGCAGAGGGCTAGGTGGTCATGATGTGCTGGTCTCAAGCTGACCGCTCCAGCTGAGAAAACATCTCTTTACTATTCCTATCTTCGGACAGTCTTGTGAAGAGCTTGCGGTGTCCAGGGACCATGCTCGGCTGCCTGGGCTGCGGTGTCACTTGGGTGACGGTGGCAAGGAGACCAGCTCTCCTGTGAAGTAGTGGCTGTTCAACTTCTTGGGGTTTCTCAGCTCTTCCTGCAAGTGCCTCTTCTGTATCTGTAGTGGGAAAACCACCACAGTGATCCAGCTTGTGTGACCAGGTGCTGCCGTGCTGGTGGGAGTGGGAGCATGCTCCCACTGGTAACTGCTGCGTTACCCAGCACTTGGAGCTGAGAGGACAGGGAAAAGAAAAGCGTTATTCAGACCATTCCCAGGAAACTACTTCTTTAACGCTGTGAAGAGGAGTTGGAATTAATTTTTTTTTTATGTCCAAGTTACAGCCTTATCGCTCTGCAGTCCTGGGCTTATCACGTCTTTCCAGAGTTCCTGATGTTATGTTCAAGGCTTGTGTGGCAGCCCAGGGCTGGCCCTGCTCCAGGAATGTGCTCCTTGCTTTTCCTTTTCTTTCTTTGCATATGAATGTGATTGTACCAAACTTCGGTATTTCAGTGTGTTCTGTGCAGATTTTTTCCCTGGTTAAACTCCACCTTGGTCATCCTCAGCCCCTCAGTTTTAGGGGGAGCAAAGAGGTCACCAACCTAAGTCATCCACTTAGTGTCTTTGCACGCAAAGATAAATGTAAGCTTGTTAAAACAGAAGACTATAGTTAGCAATACACGTTCGGTCGTGGCTAAGTGCCATGAGAAGAATTCATTATTTTCAATAGCTTGCACTTAACAGAAAATAGCTGACCTCTCTCCCAAGGAGCAGCAGCACTGCTAGAGCGGGTCGGTGTTTCAGAGCTTTGCTAACCCAGTTGCTGGCTTGCTGGCAAATTAGATCAAAACCAGCGTGCTCTTGAACATTAGGAAGGTTGATCACTCAGCTGCATCTCGATCACTCAGCTGGGTTTTGGGTTTTTTTCTTGCCAAGCAAATACTCCATAACTACCTCCTTTCTCTCTCCCAAGCTCGTCTGTGTGTGCATTTCTGTGTTGCTTTTGGTGGGGACGGGGGTGGGTCGCGCCATGCCTGCTTTCATCTTCCAGCCCTTCCAAAGCCTGCTCTCCTCCTCCTGTACCCTTCCCCTCCTGAGGGTGGTGGGCCATGCCCCCCACCTTTGGGTGAAGCCCCCCACCTTCCAGCACCAGCAGCAGCCTCTCCCCACCTGAAGCTGCCATGTGCCACCTGGGTCTAGGTTCCATTTTCAGTCCCCTGTGCCCCTTTTCCTATTGACTGCCTGTCCTTCCTGTGAAGAGTTGTGGTGCTCTCAGGGGTGAATGCTCCCTTGTGTCCCCTCTGAGCTATACCTTGGACCCTCTTTGCCAATTCCTTTTCGTATCTGTGCTGCTTTGCTGCTCTCTCTGTGGTTCTGCTCGTCTCACTCTCCCCCCAGCACTGCTGGGCTCTGCTGCTGCTCTTCCCTTTTTATGTCTTGTTTATAGATGACAACTCTTTGCAGTTGACAATGCACTTGATAATAGCAGTGACTTGCTGATTTGTTCCTTTGCCTATGGTTTGACATTGCAACTCCATGGAAATAATTAGGCTGGCTCTGTGATTCCCACCCTGAGCCATGGAATGGGGTGCTGGTACAGCTGTTTGTGTTGCACCTTAAATTAAATAGGGGAACTGATCTCGTTTTTACCAAAAAATACCAAACAGCAATCCAGATGTTTTCTGGACGTAGGGTTTTCCAAGTGTGATCCGCTCACAGGCAGGCAGAGTGCTCTGCTTCCATCTGCTTATTGGACCAATGTGAATGGTCATGGTGGTGATAGCCTGGGCTGGGTGAGCTGATCTGGCTGAAAATAGACCTATGCCACAAAAAAAAAAGTAGCTTTCACCCAGGTCAGCTTCCCCAGCCAGCCTGTCTGCGGTAGCCTGAACATCCACCCTCAGTCAGGCTGTGTGGAGGTCAGCATTGCATGGTACATGTCATGGCGGGGAGAATTGGACCTTTTCAGAGGCAGTTCAGGTTTATTTTGGGTTGAACTGACATTGTACCTATCAATTTTGTATCCTCAAAGAGTCAAGGAGCAGCCTGTTTTTTAGGGGTGCTTGCTGAACTGCTCAGCGTTGAATATACCTGCAGTTTTCCTAGCAAGGAGTTGTGATGTGCAATTAAATCTCCTCCCAGACTTGCTAGGTGGGAGGGGACACACTGACCTTCCCCAGAAAGCCTGGGCAGACCGGAGGGCTCTGTTGCAGCAAACACCACCTCTCCCATGACCGTGCCAGTAAGGCTGAGCACTGGGAGCCCAGGCTGCCGTCTCAGATGCTGCAGCCCTGCCACTGTCACCCCAGACCCCTCCAAGGAACCACATGCCAGCAGTAGAGGGTGTGCGAGAGGAATGCAACAGGATCTCCCTTCTCCTGCCACTTCTCTGGGAATGGCTCCTGCTGCCATGCCCTCACCAGGGCAAGCCCCCGGAGGCGCCAGGTAGGAGCAGGTTTCAAGGGTGGCCCTCGCCCCGTCCTCTTTGTATGGCTTTTTTTAATAACAAAATTAACTTGGGTTAAATAGGGCCTCCTTCCTGCAGCCTCTGTTGACACAGGGCAGAGGAGGAGGGTGGAGGGACAGGACTCAGGGGGGTGTGAAGAGGAACTGGGCAGCATGTGTGGGTTTTATCTCTTTTCAGCCACTCACTCGAGTGCGCCACTGGGGGTGGCATTGCTTTAGTGGCAGCATCTCTCCTGCGCAGGAAGAGACCTTGCTGGGTTTTGGGCCTCCTTCGTCCGTTTGCCTGGGCTGGCCAAAATGGTTTTGGCTACAGCATCATGGAGGTGTTGGCTTTGCTGAGCTCTTCTGCTCTCAGCCAGGCCAGCTTTTTGGGTTAGGTGGGTCAATGTTAAAGGCTGATGTGCCATGTATGAGGACTGCACGATCCAGCACCTCTGTCACCACAAAACCATCGTGCTGATCTGTCTGAAAACCAACCCTGGGTTGGTTGGGCAGTGCTGCCCACGTTGTGCTCTCACTGAGCTCTAGCCTGGGCCAACGTGGGTGCTGGTGAGGGACCCTGGGACTGGAGGGGCTCCTCTGGGCAGCAGAGAGGTTACAGATCAGTGGCAGGCTGTGCCTGTCCTTTGGGTCACCTTATACCCAAAAGGCTGCCGAGGGCTTTGTCCCATCAGCCAAGGGAGGAGGGGAAGAGCTGGCAATGGAGATGGACTCGTCGGCCAGTCACTCCCTGGCATTTACCTTTTGGGCAAGCAGGTGTGGGCTTCAAGCAGGGATCAGGTGACCCAGAGGTCCCCTCCAGCCCTGCAGCATGAGAGCCCTGCAGGCTGGCACTCAGATGGGCAGGCTTCCCACATTGTCAGGAGTCGGGTTTGGTCTCCTGAGGTGACATTAATCAGGGTGTAGGTCCCAAAAGGAGCAGATCTGGCTTTGCAGATCCTCCCTACTCATGAGAGCAAGTTTCCCTGTGCATCTTGCCAGGTGCCGGCACTCCTGTGATCGCACCAGCCCTTGATGTGATTTATGAGGTCATCAGCAGATGATGCTTGCCTGCCCCATGCCGCTTGTCCCAGGCTGGGATGTCTGGGCCGGTCTGGGGGGTGACCTCGCCTTCCCTGTGCCAGGGAGCTGCTGATTTCACTCTGCCCTGTCTCAAACCCTTCCCCTCCTCTTCCCCTGAGCTTGTTGGATTCCTGAATAGCCCCAAGCAATGCTTTGATCTGCAGCACAGCTGCCTGGCCCAGAGGCAGCAGCTCTGTAGGACTGCCAGATGACCTGCTTGCCTCCAGCCTTTGGCCCAGACTAACATGGCTCTTATGTCCCTGCAGCTCGGACTGGGTGGAGATCATTGAGCCCCGCTCCCAGGAGCGGATGTATGTCAACCTGACCACTGGCGAGTGCGGCTGGGAGCCCCCTCCCAACCTGAAGGTACGCCAGTCAGACCAGAAGCAGTGGTGGGAGCTCTTCGACCAGAACAACAACCGCTTCTACTACTACAATGCCATCACGCGGCAGACGGTGTGGCACCGGCCCCAGGGCTGTGACATCGTGCCCTTGGCACAGCTCCAGGCCATGAAGCGCAGCTCCCAGCCTGACTGCCGGGGCCGGCAGCACTGGGGCAGCACCGGCAGCGATGGCAGAAGCACCCCCATCCAAGCAGCCCTCCTGCAGGAGGTGGAGAAGAGCAAGGGTAACTGCACCGCAGAGAAGAGGAAAGACCCTGGCAGGTAGGGAGGGCTTTAGCCTTCTCTGTTTATACCTAATGGGTGGCTTCAGTTGCCAGGTGGGTACTGGCAAGAGTGTCATGCGGTGACCAGAGCTCTATTGGATGCTCGTGACAGGGTTTGCTGTTATGGCTGAGCTGCCATGCAAGGGGTTAGGCTGCCGCAGGGTGCGGGTGAGCCTGGCTGCTCTGGCTTCTTCCCTCCCTGCTTGCTTGGCTGCTTGCATGTGCTTGTAGCTTTGGCCAGGGCAGGAGGTGGGGCTGCAGGGACAGAGCTCCTGGGCACAGTTATTTGCTCACATCAAGCCCGAAATGAAAGAACAATTAACGGGTTGCTATTTTGTTTGGCTAAGAGATTTTCTTACACTTAAACCAGCCTGACAACAGTCGGGTTTGGTTTGTTTTTTATTGAAACTTTGCCAGCTGCAGCTGCACAAAAGCATCCCCTCCCCAGTCTCTGCAGGGAATGACCCCTCTGCCCGTGGCACTGCCCAGGGCTGCCCTGCCTCCCACCTGCCCTGTCTGGGCATCATCCTGCCCTGGAGAATGTGATACCAACAGCCAGGGAGGCCGTGCAGTGAGCAGAGTTGAGTCATGCTGAGGCAAAGTGACTCACCCAAGGGCTGGAGCAGAGGTCTGGTGAGCCTGGCACTCCTGCCGTCTATGCCCGTGCTCCTTGTCCCTGCTTCTGGGCAATGCAGTGAGATAGGCATCTTTAACAGCTTGGGGTTTGGGTCAAGGTTGCCTTTCAGTGTGCCTCCTGCTGGTGGGGAGAGGAGAAAAAAGCCAAGATGATGAAAACTGTATAGGATAGTGATTCTAGAAAACATATGCTCTAGAGCGCCCTAAACTGAGGTTTATCATTTGTCTGCTGCCCCCTGCAAGATGGTACTGTATTCACTTCAGATCTGTGTGACTGGGAGACACTGGTGATGCACATGAAGTGCACCACAATGAGCCCAGAGCTTTACTGGTGCTTGCAATGCTTCCAGTGCCTCCTGCCCCACAAGCAGCCCCTCTGAGCTTCAGACCCATCCAGAGGATGATCCCTGCCCTGCCAGGAGAAACCTGAACAGTGAGAAATGCCTTAAGCTGAGCCCCAGTAACTCCCAGTTCCCTCCAGTCCCTCTCAGTGACCACAGGAAAGCCACAGTCACGTGGGATTCGCCATGAGCCAACCAGCTTCCCCTCCTTGTCCTTTTGCAGCCTGGTGCTCTGGGGCAGCTGGGGTGGGCACTGACAAATGACATCTTTCCAGAGGAGCGAGTGCAAGAGCCTTGCATGGGGCATAAAATATCCTGAGCTCCACAGGGTCCAAAATATTTCTGACTCAGGCTTTCAGGAGGGGAACATGGCCTCCTCTGCCTCAGTCCAGGGAACGTCTGTGTGTCAAGGGATAAGTGATGCCAGGTCTGACCCGTCCCTCTGCTCTCTGGCCCTCTTGGCAGGGAGGACTCCACACAGGCCCCCTTGTATAGGAAGAAGGGGAGTGATGCAGCATGGGCAGGGGTTTGCCTTACTTTTCATTGCCAGCCAGGCTGGTGCCAGGCAGCATCTCAGATGTCACTGCTGGTTCTCCTGCAAAGAAAAGGAGTGGGAAGGGGTCCTCCTTCGCTCCATCCTGAGCCCAGGTTTTTGCGGCAACCTTGGGACACTTTGAGCCTGCAACAAACTCCACTGAAGGGCAAGTGCTGGGAAAGGCGTGAGTGGCAGCTTGCTTGGGAGCTAACAGGCTGCTTCTACGTGCAAGGTTCTTCCAGATCCTCATATCTGTAAGCCAACAGCATTTGCCTGTGGAAGCTGCTTTCTTGGAAGGGGAGAATGAGCGCTGTTTCTTACGTGTGTCATCGCTGCTATCTGTAAGCAGGGGTTGCATGTCCAGTTATGGCGCAGAGAAAGATTTCCCTATCCGAGTCTGACACCCGAGGAGAGATTTCTTGCCTTTTGCTAGCTTGTAAAATGGTGAGCAAAGAGCTGAGCCCAAAGCAAGTGTTCCCAGGTGAATTCTAATGCCCTTGCTGGGATGTCTGGTCTAGTAACAGAAAAGTATACCAAGCTTGTTGGCTCTGTTGTCTGCGTTGTTCTCCAAAGACAAACGTGAGTGTGTCCTCTTCCTTCCCTTGGCAGGGATACAGTTGTACAAATAGAGGGCAAATACGTTGACTGCTGTTGGTAGCATTTGACATCTTTATAGGTACCTGTGCCCAAGACAGTTTCACTTTTGTCTCTAATGGCAGCACAAAAGATTTGGTTTTCTTCCCTTCATGTTTGTCATCCCATGATAGATGGAGAGGCCAGAAGAGACCAGCGTGGTTCCCAAGAGGGGCCTCCTGCAAGCACATGCCACAGAGAGCTCGGGGATTTTGTCCTTTTTTCAGTAATACTTTGTGGTTGAGGGTGTTTTTTACTTTTAGCAGACTATTTTTTCCCACCACCACCACCCCTGCTTTCTTGTGCCTTCTGTCAGCACTACTAAATCTGCTCTGCCTGCTGCCACATCTCTGTGCTGCCTCAAGCAGAGCGGAGTCACTCCCTGGACAGGCAGGCGCTGCACTGTTGCTCCTTACTACCCATTCCCTCTGTCTATGTGCCAATCCCACCCTCTCCCTCATTGCCCCACTGCTCGCTGCTGCTCTTCCAGCTCTCTGGAGCACACCAGCTCAGAGCAGCCTTCTCTAGACAGTGGCCCTTGTCTTCCCCAGGCAGCATGGGTAGGTCAACCCCCCCACGGAAATGGTAGCTGCTTGCTGAGGGGGAGTTGTTGCTGGGATCCCCAGAGCCTCCTGGGGAAGCTCTTCTGCCTGTGCATGTGCTCTTGCTCCTGTGTCACTTTTTGGCTGCGCTTCCCAGGGCTGCAGCAAGGACAGCAGCTTGCCTTACAGCTCCAGACCCCTCCTGAGTACTTAGGGTCCCATCAGAAATGCAGACTGACTCTCCAGGGGACGTGTGGGCCAAATGATCCTTTCGCACACTGGAAGGCTCTGCAAAGGATGGATGTGTCCCCTTGGAGACTGTGAGGCCAGCCTGGGGCTGAAAGCAGCTGGTAGCATTTTAGAAGTGTCTTGTGAGCCGCTGCAGCCACGCTGGGGTTTGCCGGAGCTGCTCAGACCTCAGGGGTGAGAACAGGCTGGGCACGGCAGAAGGCCGAGGCCTGAAGAGGACAGTCTCACTGGGAGCAGACAGAGCCTGTGTGCTGGTCTGCAGCATTTGGGCATGCCATTGGTCAGGGCTGTGAGTGGGCTCTGCTGTCCCCAGCCCTGCTGTCCCTGTGGACCAGCCCTTTTCTTCCTCTTCCAGTGGTTCTCCCAGGGTGGGGGACTTGTTTGAGTGGGGTTTCCAAGGTTGCCCTTGCAGTAACAATGCATCTCAAAGTCCTCCAGACAGAAATCCATCGTCCCTAGGAACACCACATCCCCCAGGACAGGGAGAGGCATTGGGTCCCTTCTGCGTGGGCAGCAGGTTGTGCTGCCTGTCCCCTCTTCACCCACCTTCCCTATGGCTCAGCCTCCTGGGCTGGCAGGGAGAAGGGGCTTGGTCTTACCATGCTAGGAAGGTGTGCTGGAAGGGGGGTTAGAGGGTACATGTGATGTGAAGCCTGGGAAGGTGGCTGTGAGGATACCTCTGCCTCTTCCAAGTCTGGTTTGCCTTGTTAGGGGCTTATGTCTCCTGAGGCCCCATATAAGTAATACCAACATTATGTTCTTTATAATCGGGCAAGAAACACCATTAGGATTCCTAATATGGGCTTGTTTCCTTCTTACGCTGCTGGCCTTGGGGCAGGGTGCGCAAACACAATGTGCTTTGCACATGTCGGCAGAGCTGTCCTCGGGGCCATGCAGACCTGGGTTTGGGTAGATCACCACTGTGGCGTCTCCATCCCTGCCTTCAGCGTGGGCACTGGAGGTGGCAGCAGCAGTGTTGCTGAAATACAAATATCCTTGTTCATTCGCCTATGTCAAAACACAAGGAAAACTACTGCTGGAACGGGCAGAGCTGAGCTGTGGGGCCTTTTCCTCAGCCTTCTGGGAGGGAAGAGCAAACAATGGAGCACCAGAGTCTGGGAAGAGCTGCCCGATCCACTGGGCCAGCTGGAGCTGGGTGCGGGCTGGGAAAGCTGGTGCTGGGCTGTGGTGTTTATATTGGAGCTACTTGAAAGCATTCCTCGAAGGGGACTCGGCAGGGTCTCTCCTGCTTCTGGCTGAAGAGCAGGGCCAAGAGGCTGTGTTGGGATGTTTCTCCACCACTGGCTTTGCTTTCCATCAGGGCTTTCGCTGCTCAGAAGGACAAGGCTGAACCTTTTTCCATGCTGGGAAGTCAGGAAGTCCCTATTCTCCTCTTCTTGGTCTTTTCAGCAGCCTGGGGATCGGGTTGAGGGAAGCTGTATCCAGACATGGCCCCAAGAGATCGTTCATGGCTGTGGCAATGGTTATTTCAAAAAAGCCTTGGCACCACCGCAGAGAAGACTTTCGTCTGTTCTCCAGCAGCCAGGGAGGCTGGAGATGGCACATTGTGTCTGGCATGGGACTGACAGGCGCAGTGGGCTATGGCACACGGTTAGGGGTTTTGCTTCTTTATCACGTTTGCTTACAAGCCTCTTGGTCAGGGGAAGCGTGGTGGCTGTGGTCAGGCTGGGGCTTGGCTCCCTCTGCCCTCAGTGACACTGGAGTGGCACAGCTCCCCTGTCTCCTCTGCACTGTGGACCCCCCTGGACATCCTGGCAGTGCCATGTAAGGACACTGCCGTGGCATGAGGAACGTGCCCGAGTTCCATGACAGCCCTGTGTGCAAAGCTTGTGGGTGCAATAACCTCTCCTTGAAGTGGGAGCGCCCATGGGCACGCAGCGGGCAGAGGGGCACCCTGGGGAGGTGCCAATACCCAGTGTGTACCGAGGAACCCTGGCAAATGCTTGGGTACCTGGACTAGCCCTCTCATCCCCAGTTGCAACTGGGGAGGAGCGGTGGCACGGCAGCCTTGCTCACCTCCTGCTGCTGACCGCACCTTTGCAATACACCCTGCTCAGCTGCCCTGCATGGCTGTTGTGCAAAAGGTCCCAGTGCTTTGTCCCCTGAGAGCTGCCTGAGTGCTGCTGGGCTCTGCTGGCACCAGGGGTTCACAGCAGTTGGTCTGAAACAGCCTGGGGCGGGCTGGGTGCCAATATGAGCTTTGCCTCTCGGCCCGAAGGAGGGCATGTGCCTCCGCAGAGGCAGAGGAGCCCATTTCCCCAGCCCTGTTGCCCATTGGGGCGCAGACTGCAAGTGCCAAAAACCTGCTGTGGGGACACTTGCTGCTCGCAGCAGAAACCCTTGCCTTGTTGCCTTGTTGTGGCTGTCTGGTGTCTGGTGTCAGCAGAGCAGGCACAGGGAGAGCCCCGCGTCGGCACAGAGCTCCTGCTGCTCACCAACACGTCCCACCTGCATGGCCGAGCCTGTGCCAAGGCCCCACCCCATCCTCCCATCCCAGGCAGGGCCATGGTGTGGGACACCTTCCTCCTGCCCCGGTGAAGTGACTCAGGACAGCAAGGACCCAGCCGGTCCTGGGTCACAGGTAGGCAGCTCATCCTCCGGGGGAGGCTGCGAGCACAGCACCCCCTTTTCTGGATCAAATCCCTCACTGCTTATCTGAGGGCCAAAATCTGTGCTTTGCTCTTTTTCACACATGCAGAGGGGGAGGTTGTTGCCAGCTGGGGTCCCACAGGATCCCAAAAATGGTAATGTCATGTTGGCGTGGGAACCTGTCTCCGGAGGCCAGGCTGGTGGCACTGCTCAGATGCCCAGCCCCGCACCGAGCAGGGACGGATCGGGACACGCCCGGTGCTGCTGCATGGGTGTGGACCCGGACAGGCGCTGGTACGATGGATCAGGCAGGAGGTGGTGCCACTCCCTGCTGTGCAGTCAGGGAGAGGCTCCTCACTGCGGCCCAGAGCTGAGCGAGGAGGCGGCAGAGCAGAGCTTCGGGCTGAGTTTCTGCCGCTCTGGATTGGCGGGGGTTTGGTGAACCTGGCTGGAGTGGCAGGTGCTGGTGGGCCTGCTGATGCCGGCTGGTACCAGTGCACGCTGAGCCTGCACGGGGGGATGAGCCTGGTTGCGCCGTGCCTGACGGAGGTGGGTCTGCCAAGCCTTCACTGAGGGGTGCTTCAGCTGTGCGTGGAGCTGACTGGAGGTGCAATGTTATAGGTTAGGGAGAGGAATAACTTCGGGAGGTGGCTCACAGGATGTGGGGTCCAGTGCCTTCCTGCAGCGTACAGGGTTATTTTGCAGCCCTGCTACAGGTGGGGGTCTCTTAAGGTGGGGGGACACACCTGCAGCTCAGGGGCTGTGGTGCTGCAGGGCTGTGGCTCTTCTCCCCTGGGACCCATCACCTGGATAATGCTGGTGCAGATGAGATGCTGCGCTGGCCATAGCATTCAGTTAAAATCACTCCTGGCCTGCCTACTGAGTCAGGAGCCCGTGAGTGGCTCTGTCCTTGCTGTGGCTCTTTGCCAGTCTCACGTCTCTGCCACGAAACAAGCCACTGGTACAGCCAAGCGGAGGGGTAGGTGGAGGGGTGTCAGAAATGCTCATTTAAAAGTCTACCAAATGCTGCTGCTCTGGTTCTTCCTGTTAGTCCAGGAGTTCTTCGAGGAACAACCTGGTCGTCAGCAGTGCCTGCGCTTGGGATCGGGGCTTGGCTGCGTGCAGGAGGGATGCACCGGTGCAAGGAGCTGTCCCTGCGGCCCCCAGAGAGGGATGCCTGGTGGGTTGCAGGGCCGCGTGTCCTTGCAAATGCCAACACCATCCTGCCATTACCGCTAGCTGTTCCCTGCCTGTGTCCTTGCTTGGCGCCGCTGGCAGTCACCCCCCTGCTCCAGGCATTGTGCCTCCGGGAAGAAGCATGCAGAGGACTCTGATGGCAAAACAGGAGTGGGAGAACAAGGGCCGTGCTTGATGGCAGCTTTGGCAGGTGGGGGGAGGCCAATCTCAAATCCCTCGGTGCTTCCCAAGCAGCCACTCTTGGGGCAGGGCTCGGGTCAGTTCTGGGCTGCAGGCAGTGGCTGGGGACAGTCCTTCCTTGCGGTGCTGGCATCTCCAGCTTGAAGTAGTGTCAGGAGTGCCCTTAAAATAAAACCCTTCATGCCTTAGCAGGAGATGCTGGGGGAGGTCCTTGGAGCAAGGCGGCTTTAGGATGGGAAGCAGAGGATGGTGGCCCTTTCTCAAACCCTTTCTGGTCACCTGGGCAGTTGCATGAGGCAGAGTCACATGTCTGTTGTGGGGAAGGAGCCAGGCCCTGCAAAGGCAGTCGTGCAGCACAGGGTGGGCGGTGGGGGCCTTTGGACCCTGGCCGGGAGCCAGCTTCTGCGGCAGGGCAGTGCCATGCCGGCCGCAAACAGTGCCTCTCCCAGTGTTGCTGTGCTGAGGTGGGATTCATAGCGACGCAGTGCCACCAGAGAGCACATTTTGCCAAAAATACAGTAAGTGGTGGATGGGGAAGGGGCACACTGTCCCCTTAGCAGGGGAGTGGGTGGGAGTGGATGTGGGATATTGGGTGTGGGGCAGGCAACCAGCGGGGGAGCATGTGAAATAGGGCACCCACAGTGATGTGGGGCTCTGCTGTGGGGCAGATGTGTCCTGTTGAGGCGTGGGGAGATGCACCCTGCGGTGAGAGAGCTGTGGGGGGAGGACAGGCAGAGCATCTGGGCGAAGCTGTGCCAAAGGAGGGGGCTGGCACCCGGTGGCTGAAAGGTCCCTGGAGAGCAGGAGCAGAGCGAAAGAGGGTTGGGATGTCTGGCTATCTTGGGGCTTGGCAGGGAAGGCACAAGCAGGGGACAGCATCACTGGGAGGCAGCTCTGGGCATGTGTTGTAGGTGGGTCTGTCTGCCAGCCCAGGGGCCATGCAGCGCAGTATGGGGAACAAGCATTAAGGTTCAAATACAGCAAAATAGCTGTGAAGGTGTTACGGGAACATGTCCTGTTGCAGACAGGGCATGGGCAGCGCGCCCTCAGGTCTTACCCAGTGTTGGTTGGTAGCGGATACGTGAAAGGAGGGTACAAAATGGGGCCAGGTTCAAGGGGACCTTCCTGGGGACAGTGGTGCCTTTTGAAGACCTGGAAGCTCAGGCTGGTTTAACAGCCTTTCCATTCCCTTCTCCTCAGAGTTCACTAATACAGATCAGCTGTAGCCGCATCCTGACAGCAGGTTGTTATTACATGCAGAACACGCCTTTGGGACTGGGATGCTGCAGTGGACATGTTGGGTTGTGGTGGAGCTTGGGTGCCACCATGGGTCAGAGGATACTCCTAGCAGAGGAGGATTTCATGGCCATGAGAGCTGAGCAGAGCCAATAGATTTGGCCAAGGGAACCAGATCTGAGGGTGTCTGGCCCAGACTGGAAGGATGCTCTACACCGAGGCTCGGTGGGTTGTGTGGGAGTGTAACACACAGCCTGTGAGCCACGGACATCGGCCCCCTATACATCCCATACATCTCATAGGTTTTTCTGCAAAATAAACATGCATTTTGAAACTTAGATAAAAAAAAAAAAAAAACAAACCATGGTCTGGAAGGACTATTGTCAGAGTTTGACAATCCGAAGGCAGACACTTGGGGTTATTTTCCAACTCACTGCTTGAGTGGCCCAGAATATCTTACTGGTCTTCAGCTGGTCATTTGGGGTGCTGTGCTAGCTAATGAGCCTTGGGAATTGTAGGTTGTTTCCTATCTCAGTGCTGCTGATACGAGACAGGTTATAGTATGATGAACTTGCTTCATCTTGTTCTGCTGTTCATGACTCAGAAGTTTATCATGTGTGTAACAATGATGTGTTTCTGTTCTGGGAAGGGGGATCTCCAGGAAAAAAGAACAATGAGGAGCTGATAAAACTGGTTGAGGAATCTTCAGGCACTTTTGAGACTAACAATCTGGTATTTGGGTGGGAGTAGAGGATACTTCAGTTAATATAATTCTTAAATAATTCCCTGTATTTGTATCTTTCTTCCTTTAGGGAGACTCCTACCCACTGGCAGCCTCTGCCAGGCACGAAAGCAGCCATGTTGGTCAAAGTGAACAGCTTGAGGCAAATGCAGAGCTCTTCAAACAGTTCTCTTCAGCTGCAGAGTGTTCCAGAGGCCAACAGCCAAAAATCTCTTCCAAAACCAGCTATGTATGCTCAGCCTCAGTCCACGTCCCAGAGCCCTGGAGCTGCAAAGCAAATGCCTACAGGAGAAACAAAGCAGTCTATGCAGATTAAAAAGACGGAGAATGGTGGGTTTTGCCTAGTGTTGAAGAATGGTCCCCCTTCTCAAACACCTCCAAGGAGCCAGACAGGAACCCCCCAGCCTGCATCCCCCAAGTATGCCTCCCCTGCACCTATATACGATGAGCCATCTTTAGAGTCTCCAATTTATGATGAGCCACCAGTAGATATGGACACCGAAAGCATCAGTGTGAGTGGGATGTCTCCGCCAAGGTCACCAAGCAATAGTTTAAAAAAGCAGCTCCAACCAACCAAATTATTACAGCATCCAGGTATGCAACAGCAGCAAGCTGCAAAGAAGCACACAAGTAATCCCTCTTCCACTGAATACAGCCTGGCTGGCAGAGAATATATAAAACAGATGGTCAACGTTGACCAGTCTTCCAAACTCTCCCACTCTGCTGCTGCAACAGCTGATGCCTCTGCTAAACTGCCTGGTCATCTTACTTCAAAGGACAGCTTCAAGCAGTCTTGGAGGATCTTGGAAGCCAATGTCCTCAAGAACATGGAAGCCCACCACAGTCGGCAGAACAGCCTGCAAACTCAAGAGTACCCAACTGGTATAAGCCATCAGGATTCTGGTTATTCAACTGGCCCTTCTCCAAGCTTGAGAAAAAGGAAAGGAAAGAGGCAAGGGACAGGTCAAGGAAGACCTGGCTCTGTGGGCAGCAGCAGCGAGCTCACGGCTTTGAACGATAAGCTGATTGCTGAGATGCGTGCTGTGGTGGGCAGGTCAGCAGCTTGCAGGGGAAGCAAAGCCAGCCTTGATGCTCAAAGTCTGGAGAGTGGCATCCCAGCAGAGAGCAGCAAAGTCAGATTTCAGTCCGACCACTTGAAAAAGTGCATCAGCCGGAGCTCAAGGGATGATGTCTCAGCTAGTAATAGGTCTCTGTATAGGCAGAGCCTGGAGAGCAGGGGCAGCTTTCCCAATGATGTGGCTGCTCCACAGGACACAGTGAGGCAGAAGAGGACTTTTGAGAAAATAGATTCTTTAGAAAAGAATGTGACCAGCCAGACAAGTTTGGCTTCCTCAGATGCTACGCGCCACTCCTCCCAGGTACCTCCCCATCTACACTGGGTTAAATTGCATGCCTTTGCTGGACTGTCATGGTGCAGAGCCGAGTACCTGGTCTGCTCCCGGGTGGGTTTAGTGGATGTGCTGGGGAGCAGGTTGCATAGAATATGGCAGCAAAATTGCTGCCTTGCCTGAAAATGGCAGCGTATGGCTTGAGTCACCAGCGATGTCCTGTGTTGGGCCTGCATGATGGAGAGGAGAATTGGGAGACAAGGAAATTCAGTATCCAAGGAGGGTGGGCAGAAGTTCTAGGACAGGCTGAGACGAGGTGGATGCATACTGTCAGCACAAAGATAATAGCTGGGTAGTTGTACGAACAAGATTTGAGAGATAAACTCTAGAGAGAGAAGAGGAGAGAACCAAGAGCCTGTTGAACCTCCAGAGCGTATGAGGAGGTGGATCCTCAGAAGAAACATGCTGAAGGAGCAGTCGGGGTGGTAGGAGGGAAACCAACTCCAGGCATGGGAGGTGGACTGAAGGAGGCTGAGGATGGAGATGGCAGAGAAGGTATTTTTAGGCAGCGTGTTGAGTGAATTCAGAGAGGGTGAGGAGGTAGAGGGGTAAATCAAGGGTTAAAAAAACAATGCAGTAGAAAAGCAGGAGAAATGGTTGTGCCCCAGGCTGGCAATAAGAGGTGGAGTGTGATGTGTGCTAATCCTGTCATCCACATGTGGGTACATGTTTGGTGTAAGATAGGGAAGGGTTGTATCGCACAGGCCTCTGTCGTGAGTTCCGCAGTTCCTCCTTACTAAGAAGAACTTGTTCTAAATGTTCTAAAAGAATAACTTGTGTTTTGGGGCTGACTGTAGGCCAGGACTGGAATCGAGTGTGGCACTCAAGTTAAAGGTGCTCTGCAAAGATGGAAAATGCATGCTTTGTTTCACTTTTTCCACTGTGAAAAACAAAATTTACAGGATTTCTGTTTCTTTGTCTTCCTTTAAAAACCAAAAACCTCAAGATTATCTTGTTTGGCTTTTTCCTACTTGCAGGAGATCTTGGAGAGCACAGAGCAAAAGTGTGGGCTGTTTAGCTCTTAGTTGCTGTATGTGGGAATTTAAATTCTGACAAAAAAGTCTGTTTCCTAAAACAATTTGTTGGGTGTTTGAGTTCAATATGTGTCCCAGGCTCCCACTTCCATCCAAAACAGAGAATTCTGGATGGGCAAAGTAAGTGTCTTATTCTCACAAGTACTTATTACACATCATTTTCTTGGAATCAGTACTACCAAAGCACTAATTCCGTAGTTGTTGGTAGCCGTTGCTGGGGAGGACAAAGGATGGACAAAGGCCGCATGTGAAAACTGCATGCAGTGTCTGAGAGGAAGGAAGATCCTTGTGTCTGCTGCTTATCTCTGTCAATTTGTGATCAGTGAACTTGTCCCTGGAGCAAATGAGTTCAATCGCTGCAGACTGGGAGTGGGGAGCAGCTGTCCCTCATTTTCTGAAAAGAAAAAACAACCCAGTGCTTGCAAACAACTCTGATTTAATTTGGGGAAGGTTTCCTTGGATAGGAAGACATGGTAGGGAGCCCATCGTAGAGATGTCTCCAAGCCCTGTGCAGCAGTTCTTGCAGAAGCACTGGGTCTGTAGCCGCAGCCTGTATCTTCCCTGTGGACGCTGAGGATCCGGGCACCGTCC